AAAAATATATATATATATATATATATATATATATATGTATGTATGTATGTATGTATTTGAATCGCTCAAACATAATAGAAATGGTTAAGATTTCTGCACTCAAAAAAGTCATGGCGTAGTTAATTATTAAAATTTAGATTTTATTGAAATAATCATATTTGCAAAGTCCATTTAATCTATTGCTCAAAATTGGCATAGATCTGTTCATTATGAAAACAATTACAGTTATTCAGTTAAAAAGTATGAACATGGTTAAAATGTGGAACATGCAATATGCGGTTAGTTCAAATGCATTTGAAGATTGAGATTGGATTTATTAATGATAAAAATCAATAAACCTGCTTATTGTGTATTTAAAACACATTCTTTTTATTAGTGCTATTACAGAAATCTGACCCGTTTCATTCATGCATGACTGACAAATATGCATCACATAAATGCAAATGGTTGAATCTTAAATTTAGGAATAAATATTGTTTTGAGTGTACTATGTCACCACATGTGTTTTTTTTCTTCTCTAAGGCTTTGTCAAACGTGCCGCCTCTGCGGAACTACTTCCTCGAGGAGGAGAACTATCGCAGAATCCGCCGGCCGCCGGGTGACATCATGTTTCTGTTGGTGCAGCGCTTTGGGGAGCTCATGCGCAAGCTCTGGAACCCGCGTAACTTCAAAGCCCACGTGTCGCCGCATGAAATGTTGCAGGCGGTGGTGTTATGCAGTAAAAAGACCTTTCAGATCACTAAACAAGGTGAATATTAGTGCACTGAATACTGTGTGTGCACTGCCAAATAGTTTTTCTTGAGTTGCTGTTGCATGTTTAATTCAGAAAGTGGTGTAGTGTGGTAGTATGCCAATCAAACAGTAGCCTCTGTTATTCTATTTAAACAAGTGCTTTTTAACCTGGTGCTCTTTGCCCTCTAGGGGACGCTGTTGACTTTCTGTCCTGGTTTCTGAATGCATTGCACGGCGCTCTTGGTGGGACAAAGAAGAAATCATGTGAGTTTTTGTTTTGATGTAGATTTGATAAGAGGTGTGTGTTTGTGCTATTCCTCCTCCTCAGTTGTGGTCTCCTTAAGTACAGGGTGAAATCCGCTCAGTTGATGTGTTTCTCTTTTATAGCCATCCTCACCAAGGTGTTTCAGGGGTCCATGCGAATCTTCTCAAAGAAGCTTCCCCATCCAGATTTGGTAGGTGTCTGCTGGACAGATTCTTACATCAATAACTGTCTGATTTGTGCATGCTAAGTCATTTAAAGGGATAGTTCACCCAAAAATGACAATTACCCCATGATTTACTCACCCTCAAACCATCGTAGGTGTATATGACGTTCTTCTTTCAGACGAATACAATCCAGGGTGTCCGCGGGTCCTTAAAAAGTCTTAAAATGTCTTAAATAACATTTTCCTAATATAAGGCCTTAAAAAGTCTTAAATGTCTTAAAGGGGTCATATGATGCTGCTAAAAAGAACATTATTTTGTGTATTTGGTGTAATGAAATGTCTTAAATTTAACTTGTTCAAGTCTGCAGAAACCCTGCAATCAGAGTTATATTAAAAAAATGACCTGGCTCTTCCAAGCTTTATAATGGCAGTGAATGGCTGTTGAGATTCAATAGTCCAATAAAGTGCATCCATCCATCATAAAAAGTGCTCCACACGGCTCCGCAAAGTTAATAAAGGCTGCCTGAAGCAAATCGATGCGTTTGTGTAAGAAAAATAACCATATTTACAACTTTATAAACTGTAATCTCTAGTTTCCACTAAAGGGACGTAGGCGTAGCGTAAGCTCCAGTGAGAAGTGACGAACACAGAAGCACAGCGGAGTGAGCAAAACAAAACACCGGTCACAAATTAAAAGTACAAAACATGGATTTGTAAAGAAAAATGTCAGAGGATTTCGATATAAGCCAAGAGGAGACTGGTTTTCCTTTGCTGTAAACAAAACATGCGAGACTAGCATATTCTCACCGGAGCTTACGCTACGCCTACGTCCTCCATCCTCCATCCTCCGCTGGACACCACTCTCTCGTGAACGCACGTACGACAGTTAGCGGAAACTAGAGATTACAGTTTATAAAGTTGTAAATATGGATATTTTTCTTACACAAACACATCGATTTGCTTCTGAAGGCCTTTATTCACACCCCGGAGCCGTGTGGAGCACTCTTTATGATGGATGGATGCACTTTATTGGACTATTGAATCTCAACAGCCATTCACTGCCTTTATAAAGCTTGGAAGAGCCAGGACATTTTTTAATGTAACTCCGATTGTATTCGTCTGAAAGAAGAAAGTCATATACACCTAGGATGGCTTGAGTGTAAGTGTAAATCATGGGGTAATTTTCATTTTTGCGTGAACTATCCCTTTAACAGTTTAGAAAGACTTTCAGCATTATTTTTTGGGATAGGTTAAACAGTGGTGTCCAACCAGTAAATAGAAAGGACAGAAAAAATTAGTATTTGCCAGATTCGAGAAATGATTTGTACGGTCTCATGAGCTTCCGTGTCTGTTTCTCACAGCCTGCAGAAGAGAAAGAAGCCCTTCTCCTTAAGGACGAGTACCAAGAGAAGATGTCCGAGTCCACCTTCCTGTACCTGACGCTGGATCTGCCCACCGCACCCCTCTACAAAGATGAGAAGGAGCAGCTCATCATTCCTCAGGTTCCTCTCTTCAACATCCTGGCCAAGTTCAACGGAAACAATGAGAAGGTGTGGATTCTCTTTCTTTTTTTCTTTCTTTCTTTCTTTCTTTCTCTTTTCTTTTTTGCTTCCTTTATTACTTGTTGCTTATTTTTTGAGTGACAGGAAGCTTTCAGTTTCCCTCAGGTCATGGGCAAACTTAAACAATACAACTCTAAAAAAGCAGAGTGCGTTTGTGCCTGGTGAGAGTGAAAAAGAGACTTGGGAAGAAGGAGAAAGTGTGTGTGTGTGTGTGTGTCTGAATGATAGACAGATAAATAACAAAGTTAATGAAAAAAGTATACAACTGCAGAGCTTCCTCTGCTTACCTGGGCTGAATCACACGGCCCAAATGCTGATACCCAGCAGACATTATTGGTTTATTAGCGCGAGCCGTCCATCAAGGCTTTGGCAGATACAGTACTAAAGAAATGAAGGAAATAACCAGTTTGGTCATGCCTAATTTCACACTGTTTTCGAGTCCTGGCTGGCCTGAAGCTCAACGCCTGCTTGCTCACGATACACAAAATCCCAAAAACTTAAAATAAAAAGAAATTATGCCTGATGCTGCAATGATAAAATATTTCTGAATGTTATTTAAAACAAGAAATATAAGGACATATACACAAACACACACATACAGTATATATATATATATATATAT